AAGCCGTAACGATAACGATTTTAGATCAATTTTATGTAGCTTTGATATTGCACTGACAGAAACTTTCCAAAGTGATAATATTAAAAGAACCAAAAGTGGTTGACGGCTATGTGTACATTTCAATAACATCTGTATATCGCTTATCATCTAGTGCACCTAGAAAATTATATGGAACAAATTAAATACTAAATTCGAGAGACGCTAAAATGGTGGTTCCCACCTTATCGAGACTAAAGCCAACAAGAGTAAACCCGTACCGTAAAAAAAACTAGAAATGATTTAACTTGGAACGAAAGACCGAGAGTCCATAGTAGTATTAGGACGTTAAATTTTTTGGTTTATGAAGCATTGGCATTACTTAAATTAATTAATGACCTTTTAATTAGAGTTTGCAAACTTCTTCGAGCAATTTATCCAATAATAATTGGCCCCTTTACCTCTTAAGCCTGCTCATGTAAAATATTTGGGCTCCTTACTTCGCCTTTTTATATCATATTAATAAAGGGCAGAAGGATGAGTATTGCAACTATGTTAAAAGAAATAAATTGACTTTCAGTTTAGAATTATGTTCAGTACATGACTGATATTTATTTATAAAATAAAAATGACATAGTACCATCGCATCAGATCTATTAGAAAAAAATTCAATATAATTCGCAATATCATAACTATAATACAAGAAGCCAATCTGACTTTTATGTACTGCAAGCCATCACTGAAAGTCCCCAAAATATAATTTGTATTAAAGGTTTGCACAAATTTAATAGTGTCCAATGAAATTAAAAAAAAAAAAAAAACAATAAATATTCAAAAGTAACCTCAAACAATACTTGATAAATAAACAGAACGGATATATTTTCTTGTGATAATACTTTTTAAACCTGCCCTTTTTAAGTATTTCTCTCTGTACTTTATTTAAAAAAATTACTGGATGTTATATTAATACTACCTACCACAAAACTAGGAGTTTACTAATTATTATTTACAATTCGCTGGTTGAATCTATTTTGCGATATATAGTATAATGTGGACTATATGATATTGCACTTCAACCCCTTAATGTAATTCAAAATTGTATAATTAAAATTATCTACAAAAAATCAGCATTATATCCTACCTTTCTTTTATATAATAAAAAAGTGCTTTGTATAAGAACATTATATTATCTGTCTTGCTGTACCTTTATTTATGAAAAGTCTGAATTGAGATACACTACAATTTATTTGCAATAACTATCAAAAGAAGCATACAAACAGGTCGTTGAAAAATGTTTGCAATGTATGAAATGTTAGGAATGTTAGACGTTAGGAATGATTGGAATTCGTAAATTTAGTCACATAAGAAATGCATAAGTGGATTTTAAGACAATTGATATTAAAGTAGTTAGGATGAACCCAAAATTCTGAAAATCAATAGGGTTTTAAGTTAGAAGTAATTATTCAAGAAAATCAAAACCGCAAGTCAATCAAAACTTTCGTTCTAGAGTTATCGTGCCGGAAACGTGAAAAAAAGTTTAAAAAATGGGGGTAAGAAAATTTTTTCGTCTGCACTAATGCAATACTGAGGCTCCATAGGAAGGGCCTCAGTAATTAAATAAAAACAATAAAAAAGGTCAAAATTGGGCAACGAAATACCTCCCAATCAATAAACAATAAGAATAAATATCAGCTTGAGGTCACTTAGAGAGGATGTCCAATTATTGGCAAATATGGATTTCCAACTAATTTTAATAATTTTTTATATTTTCAAGCTCTATGTGTTGCACTAACAGCTGTCCATTATAAAAATAATACTACCTAATTCACTAAAGTCTGTTGTCGCTTGTGATTTAATTGCACTCATGGCGGATCTGAATGTTTATCTTTCTTTCTGAAAATTTTGTATTTTGTGGCATCCGCCCTAAATGAACTTAAGCGGATAAATTGTATAAAGACCATCAACAAAATACGTATGATGAGAAAAAAAAAATTATACGTCAACTATAGTAAACACGTAAACCAGCTAATTAAAATTACAAAAAAATATTACCGAGAAGAAATACAACGAGTACCTATTAAAAGTATTTTTAAAAAACAGACTTCAAAATCGTGCAGATGCCATCACCAGATCTTAACCAAATTTATATAGGACCACCGCTGAGGTACCCCTTTACTAACAAAAAAAGAATCATGGAAATCGGACAAGGTGGTAAATAATTTTGGCTAAACATACATAAAAAATGAAGATATTGAAGATTTTCTCATGGACCCAATTATTAGATTTTAACCAAATTTATATTGGACCACCCCAGAGGTACCTCCCTTTTTAACAAAAAAAGAATCATTGAAATCGGACATCATGTTAAAGAATTATCGCTAAACATACATAAAAAAATATATACCGACGAATTTAGAACCTCCTTGTTTGAAATCGGTTAAAAAAACGCAAACAATACAAAATATTTATTGAGTCTAGTCAAAAAACAGACAATAATATCATTGAAATAAACGCAAATTCGGACGAAAAAGTTAAAGAAAAGAAATTGATGAGGAATTTAATAATTAATTTGTTTTGGTAGGAGAAAATATTGCTCGAAAAAATATCAAAATCAACAAACCTTCTTCCAAAGGAAAAAATAAAAATAAAAAAATATTGGTTACCAGTGATTGGGGAAGAGCAGATTTTTCATCTTATACACTTAATCTTTGCTAGAGGGGGCTATCCCTCTATCTTTAAAATAGCTATAGTTAGGCCAATTTATAAAAAGATAAAAATAATCAAATCTCCAATTGACAAGAATAATTGAGAAGGATGCAAGGAAAAGATGGACTTCTTAGGTATCAATTAATGTTAAAGAAATAATTTGAATTTTAAGAAAAGTTATCAATAAATGAACAAATTAAAACTTTAGTTTCATGAATCTACAACAATTCCATGGATAAAACTGATCCAACATCAGTAGACTCTTATTCAACTTAATTTTCTAAATCAGTATTTAAAACATACATAAAAACTTTAGAAACTGATTCATTTAGATAAAATAATGAAAAATAAGAAAAAACAAATATTAATTAGATCTAAATCTATTAATCAAAGCAGCATAGTAAAAACTACATATATTTTTTTCATGCTCAACTTTTATGTTCTTAAAGGTTTACTTGTGAAATATTTTAAATTAATAATAGTGTTCTGTTTATTTAGTAGAATTTTATTACAATTGTAAATGTATCCTACTTCTAAACATTCGTTATTATAAATATAGGTACTTAAATTGTCAGCAATGACATTACCTCCAAATCTTGTCCGCGTTATTTAAGTCCACAATATTACTTTATTTTATCTTAGAGATTACGATCCTAATCTATTCAACGTTGAATGCAAATACATATTTTTTTTTCAATTACTTATTCTAAGCAGTTAGTCTCGTTTCTTCTAAATCTACCCTATCACATTAAAAAATAACATCATCTTTATCACACTCAAAATTATCACTGTTGTCATGGCAGATCCTAATGCAAAGAAATGTCCAAAATATACCCCCAATTAGCTGTCCAGAATACCTACCACGTTGTTGCCGAAATTTACGACGAATCCATTTTGCTAGTTGATGATGATAAATATTTACTTTGGCTAACTCTGAAATCAAAGATAACCTTGGTTTTTAAACAGATTACATAGAAGATCCCGGGGCCCCATTCTCGAATGTCTAATAAAAATTTCTTATTCGTTATAATGTCGTCCTACTACTAATGTCGATCGACTGACACTATCCGTATTCTGAAAAACAAATCGACATTTTAAAATCGGTGACATATTTGACGAATAATAACATCTGGCAACATTGGATAGAAACATACAAGACTAGTATATAGTATATTATAGCACACAATTCCTTGACGGATCTCTTAGTAACACAAAATAATACTACAAATATATCCCAAATATATATCTTTTTGATAAATACTAATTAGAAAGTAGAGAAATTATTATAATATATTTTTAACTGAAATTTCATGAGAGATTAAATAGAAAAATGGAAGTGCAATTTGGTAGGAGATTAAATAGAAACTAAAAGGAATATATTATTGTAATATACCTAATCTAAACACTATATAAAAGGTATGTGATATAATCTTTTTTCCTGCAGTTTGAAAAAATAGAGCTATCTATATAAACTTAATGACAGGGATTATATTTCTTGGACAAACAGAACTATGATTGATAAATTAGGTGAAATTGTAAATAATCAATTCATATATTTTTAAAAACAATTTATAGGTACAATACTTATTGTCATTTCTCTTAAAAAAAATAAACTGTTACAGTCACAACACTCATACCTATTAAAACATTATCTTTAAAAAGGTATGCAACATTACAATGTCGACTGATTGAATAGAATAGGTACCACTCGATTTTATGTCTAACAACAAATATCGAATTCGCCAATCGAGAATACGTTTTTGCGTTCTTAATCGACATTTCAACAATGTCGTGGGTGACATTTAGAAATATACATTCGAGAATAGGGCACCAGACAATGTACTGAGAGTGTTTAAAAAAGAAGAGTACAGTTAAATAATCTAAGTTATCTCTTTCACAACCTGTATATAAATGAATAGGGGATATAATCTATTTTTTTTTTCTTTTTGTAAATTGTAAAGAAAATAAATAAAACCGAACAAATTAGTAGAAACTCGAAAAATACCAAAGTTAAATTGATGAAACCCGCATTTCGATATCTCAATCCGTTTAAAAGATTTAAACTAGGTCGTTGTATAGGTTAAAATTTATTACCGGGAGATTAAGATGTTCTAACAAAGTTGACTTTTTGGCCGCAGCATTAAATTTTATCCCACTGTGTGTTGTCTAAAAATAGTCGCGAAAAGGTGCCAGCACATGAGGAAAATTCGCCAGTCACCAAGGGAAATCCTTTCGACTGTTATCGCCGATATTCGCGGCCATTCGTAGCTTTTGAGAATTCCGCGCCAATCCTGGCGAACTGGATCAATATGACAGTATCTCAGAGGGCGTTCAGAACGCACACTACCCAAATAGTGCACCCTTTCTGTGCCTAGGTATTTATTTGGTTTGAGAATTTGTATTATCAAAGCGAAGCTGGGTGGTGCTTGCCAGATTATCCAGATTATATTTGAGAAGTGATCTATGGTAACAGTTTTTCGAACGGAAGTGCATAGTGGTGTAAAGTGTAGGTGATGGTGGTGTTTTCTAGGATTGCACGACAACTTGAAGAGATTTGTGTTTGGTAATATATATTCTAATTTGTATCTGATAACCTATAAAAAATTTAAAACATAATTTCGATTAGTTAATCATTTTTTTTTTGAAATCTGAAGTGGTTTAACGTTATTTAGTTATATTTATTTCTTTATTTTTGTGTCATGAAACACAAACGGGATAAATACAAAGAAATTTTTAAAATTTTGAGTATATAATCGGTTTAATCTAAAATAATTTTAAATTAACTAAATACGTATTTAAATGTTATATAGTAAAAGAGGCAACAGAAAAATTATAACTCAATAAAAAGTTAATTGCTCAATTTCAGGAATCTAACAGATTCAAATACCTACCTATTAGAGTAAACTAAACAAGAAATATTTCTTTAGGACATTTTAAAATTATTTTAATATCAACTTTGAGTTTAATATTAAATCGTGAGATTTTACACATCTGCATAAAGGATAATTTTGAAAGAAATTAGATTTACTCGTACCACAACGTATTGCTTCGGGTACGTCAAAATATATTGTGTTATTAATAGAAATTGAATTAAGTGTATATTGCGATAAGTTTTTTTATTGACAAATTTTTATAAATGTATGTTGTAGGTATATTTTTCAAATGGTTTTTATTAATATTATATTGCGTGTTCTAGATAACCGAATCATGGTTCAATACGCTATAAACATATGCCATATAAATTGAACGAAGAGTTTTAATATATTTGTAAAATCAAAAGAAGAGCGCATGACGAATTCCAGCAATTTATTTGCCTTATTTTTAACGTATTCTTTGAGTTGGTCAAATAGTATTTTTAAATCAAAAATTATACCTAAATCCCTATAGCGGCATTAGCATAGGAGATTTTTTCAACATAGGCAATAAATCTATGTGAATTTGCTTTTATAATATTCTAATGGTATTAAACTAGGTATTTCCTGAATATACTAAAAAAAGAAAAAAAAATTGAGAAAATGAAAAAAATAACGAAATTGTCAAAATTTCACATGTTAAAAAGTCATCAAAAATCGTTATAAAAACTATTTCAGGAAATAGAATATATTCCCATTAGAGCAGCTGTACTCAACCTTTTTACGCGTGTGAAGTTATATCCACATCCACAAATGTACACTAAGAAAAATACAGCTCCATTGTATTAGTCATATAACTTGGTTCAGATGACATGTAGACGCTTTTCATTTGCAGATTTCAATTGAGGAGGTTTCAATACATAACAACCAAACCCGCAATTAAATTTTGCTTCGTCTGAGGGGGTGCAATTGGGGGTGAAATTTAAAAAAAACATAAGAACCACAAATGGCTTTATACACCTTTCTGCTTGGGATATGTTGTATAGTGTGCTCTTTTCTTCATCCCTGATGCCATGCTGGAGTTTTTCAAGCCGTCTAAAGAGGTGCAATTGGGGCGAAATTAAAAAAAAATCATAGATAGTAGTAAATTATAATTTAGGTACAGAAAATACATAAAAAAAAACTCAAAATGTATTATTGATTTTAGGAAAAAAAGTTATTCTTGATAAAAAGTTCTGCATGACCCAAAACTTAAAATACTGTCATCAGATATCAAATTTTTTCAAGCCTATACGAGGTTTGTTAAAAAATATGAATTTTGCTCAAGAGTAAAGTACGTTTATTTTTGACAAAATCGAAAATTTTTATTAAGAAAATTGCTAAATTTTTCACAAACATCAAGAAAAGGAAAGCGTATCATGTGCTAACGTAATTTATAACGTTTTCAGATATTTACAATCAATGTGTAGAAAAGTTTATAAAAAATAAGAAAATCTGTTTTTTTTTTAGATAGATCGGTGTAATTGCACATTTGAATGTAATTTTCAATTCTAATCAACTTTAACATCTGTCCCGATTTTGTCCCGCTTTTGTCCGATTAGAAACGATTTTGTTCCGCTATTGTCCAATTATAGTGACATTTTTTTTATGTTTTGCTCTTCAATGAACCAAACCGTCACTACTGCAAATAGAATTCGTAACCTACAACAAATTATGAGAAACATTAACTGTACATACCATCAAAAAAGTAAAAATCTAAGAAAAATTTGTGTCGATGACAACTCATGACTGGAACATTCGCATTTTTTGAGCTCCTGAGATTACACAAAAGTTTGTCAATATGATCACTAATCTCCATACGTTTTCTTCCAATAAATTGTTTTAAAGTCTGATCGATGATAAATATTTATATATGATTGTTCTGTGCAAATATTTCTTTATTGAAAATAAATGTCAATTCCAGAATTGCTTTCTGTTTCACACGCTGTGAAACAAAAAGAAGGAATTTCTGTTATTTTAAAACAAAATTTATTAAATACTTTATAAAATATTGATTGGCACCAGAATATGGAACAGTGTTTCCGAAACATATGTAGTGCCTGTGCTTAACTTTTATAAAAAAAAACTATTAACCGAATAAATAGATATTAGTTTAGCTACATCACTTTCATTAGATCCTAATCTTCTTGTAAAATAAAAGCAATCCCAATATTTCATTAGTTGGAGTTGTAGCACTATGTGACTATGAGAAATTATTAAATTATTTCATTGTTAAAGCTAATCAGCTCATTAGACCCTATACAAAAGAGGTTGCCCATGCCTGGTGTTTAATATTAATTAGATTAATATAAGTATATTTAAATTTGATGTGTTATTTTGATTTAAAAACAATTATTCCATAGTATTTCTATTTTGTAACCAATCACCTGTTTGCCCTATACCAGAAAAATATTTGTTGTCTTCCTTCGTGAAACTTTCTTAACATTGGCAGATGTTTATTGCATTGTGCTTGTGAATATATTCATATTTGTTTTAAGTATAATGTTATACACACAATTAACTATCTTGGTAACCGAGAATGCCGCTTCGGTTTCAAATTTACATAATTGTAAACTTTAAACTTTTCATTAAAGTCTTCGTTCAAAGTTTATTAATAAAGGCACACACCGAAATGCGTAAAATGAATGAAAGCCTCCAAGCTAGCAACAAGTTTTCGACATTATCTACATCCACTTAGACTTCATATCACCTACTTTATATTTAGTCAAATGGTATTTTTCGCCAAAATCTGGTTAAAGAGGTGTATGCTTGAAAGTTTTCGTTAGTACAGGTATTAAATGGTCCCGTAATTAATAATGAAAGGTTTTTAGGGGAAAAGTTTATAAACTTCGAGAAAATGTACAACGACGCGTTGAAGTAAAAACGGTGTAAATAAAGTTCTATCAGCCAAGTATCATTGTTATTCGTCGGGATAGACAGTTTAGATTCTATTATGAGTATACTATATATACCTGCTTGAAAATTGAGAATTGGCGTGTAAATATTAATCACAAAAACCAAACCAAGAAAAGTTTACGGCTCGATACCTTTTACCAATTAGGCTACCAGCTATGTAATCTTTACAAATAATTGTAAGAACCATCTTATTTTATCTATTAATTTCGTTAAAATAAATACTTTTTTGAAAATGAACACAAAATAATGACTGGCTAACACCCATCCACTTAAATGAGTCGATTGAGGTACGGCTCTAGGCCTAGGAAGTTTTAAAATAGTTACAGTCTGTTCGCTATACTTACGCGGGTTTCGGATTAACAAAATTATGCAAATTAGTCATTGACAACCAGTTCCAATAAGCCTCTTCCCAAGAAATTAGGTAAAATTGCCCTAATGGTCAGATTTAAATTAAAATAACATTAGGGTAGGTAACAAGGAACATGTGACCTTGAATACAATTATCTCGGAATTAATAGATAGAAAATTTGACGACATTGGCAGAACAAGTCTATGGGAAGTGATACATAACTTGGGTTTCAAATTTCAAAAGGAGGATAACAGAAAGGCCCTTTGTGAAAGAAGTTCTGTCGTGCGCAAGAGAATTAACTTTCTATTTCTAAATTTAAAGAAGAATTTTATATATTTAGACGAAACATGGATATTTTCTAGGGGTGCAACCAAGAGAATATGGCAAGATGATAACGTAAAGTCCATCAAACATACCGATGGAGAAGGGAAGCGACACATAAGTTTACATACAGGAGGGAAATCGGGTTTTATAGAAGGTGCTAATTTAATATTTTCATCTAAATCAAAATCCAGTGACTATCACGATAATATGAACACAGAAATTTTTGTAAAATGGTTGCATGAAAAACTTCTCCCAAGTTTAAGTGATCCCAGCGTAATTATTTTAGACAATGAACCTTTACATTCTGAAGTATTAAACAAAAGTCCAATGAATTCTTGGACTGTTGATAAAATTAAAGAATGGTTGACAAAGGAACATATACCATTTCCTCAATATTATTAAAATCAGAATTATTACGCTTGGCAAATATACACGCAAAACCAAAACCTTTGTTGTGAATCAGATTATTGAAAGTTACGGTCATCAAGTTTTACGTCTGTCACCGTATCATTGCCAGTTTAATCCCATCGAATATATATGGGGAATAGCAAAACAATATTATGACAACCATATGGTTATAGTGACGACGCAGTTCGGGAAACTTGGCGAAAAGCACTTTCAATTGCAATTTCGAAGTGTGGCGGAACTGTATACCCAAGTGCGAAAAACTAATAGAAGATTGGTGGACTCGTGAAAATAAAATAAACGAAATAAGTCCAATCATAATAACAATTAATGGTGATGACAGTGATGATGATGACGATTATGATATTTTGGATGATAATGATTGATTTTGATTTTTGTTGGCAAGTCCAATTTTTTTATTTGAAATTCTCTACATGGAACAAATTTTTATGTTAGAAAATATTTTATTTGAGCTAAATAACCCTCTTATTATACATAGACCATATTTTCTGTGTGAAGTGTAATATAAAATTATTATTAGGTTTATAATAGCCACATTAGACTCCATTAATGAAGAAGCTTAATTCTGCTCTCAATTATGCAAAAGATTCTCCATTATTATTTAATTAAAAAGTTGTACATTATTTTTCATTTCATTTAACCAGTTGATATTTCCCCAAAGAACAGGTCAAACTTTCGGGTGCTTACCTGGAAATACTCATAAAAATTTTAATCCGAAACCCGCGTTAAGTATAGCGAACAGACTATACCAGAGTTATTAGATATTCTATGAAGTGCAGCCATAAATTTTATTGTGTTTGTTATGATTATTTGATAAGACATATTCAATTAATAGTAAGTAAATATATTTTTATAGTAATTATCATTCATAAAAAAAATACTATTACATAAGCGCCCCTAGTTATTAATTATTACCAAAAATACCCCGTTTATTGTGTTATTTGTACATTTGGTGAATTTTACATAAGTGGAAAAACAAACCATAATAATGGAATTAATTATAACCGAAAACAGATGAAAGCATGAATGGAATATATTAATGGAAGCTCTACATCTATTCCAGCACAAATGGTCAACACGTTAAAATTAGTTCCATTAATTTCATAGTTTAACTGTCATATTTAACGATTTCAAACAGAGTTGTGTTGTATACCTTTTATGAGAACACTTTCGTAATAAAAGAATGTAATAATCTTTTATACCCTGCTTCCTTTCACGGACTGAAGGAACGATAACAAAGGTACGGGTGTCATCGTTTATAATCGGTTTCTTTATGTCAATATTGGATCCTTCCACCTCCTGCTGATTAGATGTATGCCGTTATTTTTATAATACATTTTTTAAATTGATCAAATAGATTAACATTGGTATTATACGATTATAATGACTTATACGTCTTACTTTTTGGGATTCTGATTTGTCGATAAAGCCATTTTGGAACCGATCATACGTTGTCAAAATAGTATCAAACTGTTTGGCCAAACTTCCTACTCTGTACAAAAAAAAACAAAGTTAAATTCTTTCATAATTTCTAATTTATATCTTATGCCGATCCTGGCATTAAATTTTCATGATATTTTCATATTTTTTTTGCCAAATGCTAATACTATATATTTTTTTTCAGACGAACCGGTAATGAGGTTAAGTTAGCTGGGAGTATGGGACCGCCGGGATGGGCATGTGTACAAACCCAAGGGGCAAGTCTCGTCCATTGACCAAAGCTACGGTACCGGTGCCTCAACGCTCATTTACCTTATATACTATTCTAACTGCCTTATTGACTTTCGTCTTTTTACAAACGGGTAAGTTTTAATTTATATTAACTCTAATCAAAAATACAAAACATTTTTAACTATAAAACAGACTAAGTACGGCGCTGTTCAAATTACAGACACGCTTTATTTCAATAATATAAATATAAATTTCTTATGCTGTTAATATAAGAAAAATATATCTGCTTACAGACCAAAGTAAAAACATTAACCAAATATTCAAAGTCGTTATGTCTAAAGATATTTCAAAGCACACTACTCGGCAGTGTTGGCTCGTGACCCAAATTTTGGGGGTTCACAGTGACAGAATATAGATATTAGTACAATATATGAAAAAAACTTTCGCTGTTTTAGAAAGTTTACATTTCTAAGACACTGACAATTTTTACCTATATCTGTACCGATATCTATATTCTGCTACTGTGAACCCCAAAATAGAGGTGGAAAGGACTGGTACAGATCAGTTGTTATTTTGGAACTCTTAAATACATTGAGAGTATTTTTTAGATTTTAAAGTACGTGGTAACGGCGGTAGTACTACCTATGATCATTGAGCACACGGCGTGGAATATAACCATAAAAGCTTACTTAAAAATGTTAAGTGAAAATTTTTTGACGTATCTAATAATAGAATAAATGATTAATAATTACAATCAACCAGTGCACGAGTAAAAAGGCGTCCCCCTTTATATGATTTTTGACTTTTATTTGTATTTTTTCTTAAAAGACTCACGTTTAAAATTATTTAGGTTGGATAAGTTGAAATTCCCTATATATTTAAACAGAAGTGAGTAAATATTGACCTAATAAAATTATTTATTTCTTTTAAATTTAATATTTAAATTCGAATTTTCAATATTATAATTATTATTATCATAAATGTAACATGTATGTTAAACAAAGATATCGGATATTATGTCCATGGTCAGACCTTACAACTCAATCATACTTTTAATTATTGTTATTGTAAATTTAGTCTATTTTTAACGTATGTGTAATTGGCTGAAAATTTAACGAATGCACTCATATATAAAAGTCGTTATTTAAGCCTCTTTTGTTTCAGTACACTGTATACAAGATGCAGTGCATATTACAGCAATACTCGGTGAGTCGGTGGTTTTCAATTGCCACGTGGAGTTCCCTGAGGGACACCCCGTGCCATACGTGTTGCAATGGGAGAAGAAGGTAGGCGAAACGGTAGGATTTCACAACATCTGCTCTCTTACTGTATGACTTTGGTGGCCCCGGTAACAGTAACAGTGAACTGGGCTGTATAGGAGCCCTGGGTTTGGTCCTTGCGGAATCACGTAGTTGGTTTAGTGATAAGAGGGTTAATTTTGAGACGTTACGTTAACTATTTATGTAACAGGAGTCTTTTTTATATTCACGGACTAGGCATTTTTTAATAGGAAAGCAATTTTTCATTATTAAGTTTTTTTATTTAGATATAGGTTTGTGTTGTCACGTATCAAAATGAACAAAGTGGATTATCGAATTCCTTACAAAATAAGGAAAAATGGCGAGAAATATTCTTGAAGAAATGTTGGATGTATACAAGTCATTTATTTGGGAATGCTCAAAATTGTTTAAACATGGTCGAGAATAACTGGATGATGATTCCCGTTCAGGCCATCCTGATAACGTTATCACATCGGATGTTACTTTAAAAAAATCAAAGATATGGCATTGGAGGATGCAAGAATAAACAATTAGTAGCATTATTAGGAGTTTTAGAAATCACTCAGTTTTCAAAATTCTATACGAATTCCTTAAAATGACAAAATTTAGTATGACATGGGTGTCTTCAAATTTCAAAACTATTTTGGACGTTCTGTTGAGATGAACCAGAGTGTATTATCAATCAATAACTAGAGATGAGACCTGGAGCCATCAGATTGATCCTGAATCATAACAAAAACGATCCAATGGGTTCCAGCTCACCCAAAAAGCTTAAAGTCTTCTGAGGAAAAGAAATGGCAACTGTTCTTGGAGCAATTAAGATATTTTAATAATTGCTTCTCTGAGTAAGGTTGAGAATGTAACAAGAGGGTATTATACGATCTTCATGCATCACCATCTATTACATTCAAAAAGGTCAGGAAAACTTACGGAAGTTGTCCTGTTGCTCCACTACTATCCACAATGCACCAGTACATAAAACAAGAGTTTCAAATGCAGCCATTGCTGAATGTGGTTTCGTAGAAATCGATTAGATACCTTATAATCTAGATCTGATTCCCTGTGACTATTTTAACTGACGGAAGGTATCCTGTTGCTCCACTACAATCCACAGTGTACCAGTACACAAGACAAGAGTTTTAAAAGCAGCCATTGCTGAATGTGGTTCAGATCTGATCCTCTGCTCCCAATCTCAAAAAAACTTTATGTGGGACACGCAAAACTTTTTTTTCAAAGAATATAAAGGAATCTTTTAATAATAAATATTGAAACGGAGTAATACTTTAGAAGCAAGGGAACTATGTTGAAAAATAAATGTTTCTTCTTGATCTAGTATTTTGTTTTCATGTCTAGTCCGGGAATATAAGAACAATTCTTCATAAAACGTTAAAAACTGGATTAATTTGAAGAGTCCTATTTAAAGCAATATCGATTCTCAAAATTAATCGCCTTTTTAAGATTGCGCAAGGTGTTTTTTTTTAGCGAAAATAATAGATTAACAGAAAATATAAATAGCATACATAACATTTTGCTTTTAATTAAGTCTTTCTTATTTTAGTAATACAACTTTTTGCCATAATTTTGATATTAATTCTCTTTTCCTAAATACACCGATTGTTTCAGAAAAATGAATCTTTTACGAAATATACAGGGTATAACAGAAAGGTTCGCAAATTATGCCAGATACTCCGGAGTCAAAAATACGTCTGTTAAACCTATCTTACCATTAATGCTATTCCTATGGGTGCCCTAAACACGCTAACAATTTTCAAATAAAAGTTATATAGTGTAATATTTGTTTACAGTGTGTCCCATCAGTGCGTAATTGATCAATAGACGTTTTATTATTGAATACCTACGAAAGTTGTACGACCATATTTTAAAATTATTCTTAAATATACATAGTAGTTCATAAATTATTCAGAATTCGTGTCATACAAGATCTTTTAAAATCTGCAAAAATTTACAGGGTGTCCCCTTCAAATTAAAAAAGTTGAGGGTATTATTATTTATTCTAATGTCTAGGTAGGATTCCTCACTCGGACCATTCACTGTTGGGTTCTAATTAACAGTGCTGTTCCTAAAGTGGCGCTGGGCAACAATAACACAGTCTACACAAAACACACATGAATGAAAGTCAAACACAAACTGAGACTGGCCTATTAGTCATAAAATAATAAAAAAATCTTTATTAACTAGAAATTATTTGTGGTTTTTAAAGTAAATATCTAGTAGATTATACCAGAGCAAGTAATTTATATCAATATTTCATTAAAATAATTTTGTTACTTTTATTTAGTAAGGTACTACAGTTGAATAGGATTTTTTATATTTGGACAAATTTATTAAAATAAAATTAATATTTTTTTATTAGAAAAGCGAAAAACATTAAACAATAAACTAATTAGTCATAAAACATAAAAATTATTAAAATGGACGAAAATGCAAATAATAATGAAAATTAAAAACAAAACAAATGAATTTTTGAAAGGATAATCGAAAGTCGAAAAAATATTTACTTTTTTTGAGTATGTATTTTGAATGAATGCCTGAATGTTTTGCAGTTTTTGTTATACAGTGCGTCCAATTAAGTCGAAACCATATGGAAACTTTCTATTCTTAGTTTTATGAAAAAAAGTCATTCTTTATAAAAAGTTCTGTTACATTATCCAGAAATAAACAGCAACATTAGTTTTCGAGTATGCTTCATCTTGTTTTACTCTAAAGAATCTATCTAAAATGTATGAATCCAATAGTTCTAAGTATGGCTGTGGTAGCAGCACATTCAGTGTATGTTTTCAGCCATCATGCTATACTTTATCAAAAGCCTGCGCAACATCGAGGAAGATGGCTGAACAGATTTCTTTGTTTTCTAATGCTTTTTCAATCGCATTTGAGATTCTATAAACCTGAACTATAGTTGAATGGTTTTCTCTAAAGCCGAACTGGTAATCTGGAATAAGATTCCTTTCTTCAATGATGGGTTTCAGTCTTATTATTGGTATTTTTTCAAATAGTTTCGATATTATGGGAGGTTTTCCTTTCAGTTACTTTCCATAATCTAGGGACATACCTTAGTTTGAATGAGGCATTAAACAGGTGTGTAAGTTTAAGTATGGCTTTCTTCGGAAGTTGTTTTAAGATTTCTCCTGTAATTAAATCAAAGCCAGGAGCTTTCTTAGGATTAATTTTTGTTTTTATATCTTCTGGAATTTCCTTTGGAGAGGTTGTTCTGACAATTGAGTCATCTCTCTCTAGAGGAGCCCAGTTCGGTAATTCTTCTCCTTCATTTGGTTGAAAGGTATTTTGTAAGTGCTCTGCGAATCTATTAACTTTTTGTATATTTTTCCTAGCTCAGCTACCATCTGTATTCCTGATTGGAGCATTCTGTACAGTGGGCCTTTTTAATCGCTTTGTGGCTTTACATAGAAAATAATCAGTGGATTTATCGTTTGTCAACTCACAAATAGATTCATTTTTGATTCATTTTATCTCTCTTTTTAACTGCTGGGTGGCGTTGTTAAGTTTGGTTTTACCTGATGGAGCTCTGGTCTGATGCCATTTCCTCCTTAGTTTTCTTTTTTGCAGAGATTAGGTCCCTTATTTCTTTAAGATAGTTATTTTCTGTTGTTCGCTACACAATAGGTGGGGTATTATCAGGTGCTGCTTGTTGTATGTTGGAAACAAGTAGTTTTACTTCTTCATCTGCTTTTGTTTTTAACGGAACTGAAAGATTGATTTTATTTTCAAGGTCCAGTCTGAAGTTTTGCCAGTCTGTTCTCCTATTTATTAGTCTAGGAGCGCTTTCATTTTGGATAATGGTGTCACTAAGAGTGAGAAGAATGGGCGAATGATCTGAATTCATGTCCCATGCCTCATCAACTTGAATGTAGTTTGCTGAATTATTTCGTACAACTAAAAAGTCTATGAGGTCGGGTATTTTGTTTCTATCTGTGGGCCAAGATAATATACATACAAATAATATTAATATCTATACCTACATAATTAAGAAGTACCTGAACTTGATTTTGAATAATATCTTTCACAACAACTTTTTTTTTGTTTTAATGACCAATAGTTTCCGGCACTAATTATTGGTTCCTCTCATTTCAAGAGAATAATTTAGTATACTTAAATATTGAGACATTTTGAGAAGTTCAGATTTTTGATCTAATTTCTCGGGGTCTTTAGAAACAGGACTTTTTGCAGTCTAGTCGGGATATGAAGGTCAATAAAGGTGACAGTCCCGATATATCGGGACGAATGACAACCCTATATTTCATAGATTACAGCAATTTAACTTTACAATATTTTTCCATCAGCGAATTTCTTGAAGTTTAGAGCTCATGGAGATTAACAGATAATTTATTCATGATAAATTGTATCAGACAACCTTTTTTATTATTACCATTCAATAAATTAATGTGAAAAATAAAAATAAAGTTATATCTATCATATTTCACGTAACAATCATCAAAACGAGGGGTTTAAGAACCAAGAAAAAATCTCATTTCGTTCCAGTCTACCAGTCCGCTCCTGTGCTTAAGTTTGTTTAAAATCAAAACAGAGATTTGCTACATTCGCATCCAAAACAGTATAAATAATATAGTCGAAAAACGGGAAAAACAATTAATTAAATTTTAATTTTCGCCATTCAGTGGAGATTAAAGCGTCAACTTCCCTAGGAATTCGGAGTTTAATCGTTTATCGTTTTTGAAGCAGATTGTTAATGTGAACGCCAAACTTTTTATTAAATCATGAATCATTCTCTAACGGTTGAATCGTGGAAAATTACTTTGTTTTTCAAAGTACCCAAGACAAACATATATCCACATTTTAGTTTAAAAAAATGCGAATTATTTTTTATCTCTCTTCAAATATCGAATGACTAATTGAGTCGAAAGTACGCAAAGCTTCAACTTCCGGTGCAGAACAGCAAGGCGTATCTCTCGTCTTCACAGTTACAACAATCCAAGGAGCACATAAATGTATATTACTTTAAAATACATTCTTTTCTA